CCAGTGTCTACTGAATGAATGAAGACATGAAATGCATGATGTGTATCTGTGTCCTCAAAGTTCTGGTGCTGAGTCGTCTCTAATGAATTACCAAAGAGGCAGGCCAAACTTAAGGAACCAAAAAGGAAATAAAATTGAAAAAATTTAAAGTTTGGGGTGCCTGGGTGGCTCAGTTGGTTGGGCATCTGCCTTCGGCTGAGGTCATGATCCCAGGGTCCTGGGATCCAGTCCCACGTCAGGCTCCCTGTTCAGCAGGGAGCTTGCTTCTCCCTCTGCCTGCCACTCCCCCTACTTGTGCTCTCTCTCTCTCTGACAAATAAATAAAATCTTTTAAAAAAAAAATTTAAGATTTCAAAAACAACACTGCTTATATCTTGATTATATCTTGATAGTTATGCAAGTGTATACATATTTAAAAATTAACTGAACTGGACTTTAAAATTAGTGCACTTTACACACTTTTCTATATGTGTATTATACCACAGTAAAAAAGAAAATACAACACGAAAAATGAACAAAGTGAAAATAAAATTCAAGTAGTGCCTGGGAAAAATCATCAGAGCCTTGACTTTCCTAGCCCTTATTTCATGGTTTAATATTATTTTTATTTTGATATATAGTGGATAGTGGGGTGTACCATAATCTTGACAACACTTTGGGCTTCTAGATGTCCCTGGTACTAGTAAATAAATTTGTTATAAAGAGTGAGAGATTCAGCTTCATATTCCCAATGCCTGGCACAGAGTAGGAGCTACTACAGATGTGTGATGAATTAATGAGCTCTATGAGCATCTGGATTGTGGCAAGCCCAGACCTGAAGCCACCTCCAAGGGTCCCTCACACTCCAGACCCTGCCCCTCCCTCCTCCCAGCCCTACTGGCCATAGCCCCTACCCCAGCAGCTCTGGATGCTGTCCCGGACTTCAAGCCCCTTGCAGTCTGGAGAGAGATCACAGAAAAGCCTCCAGTGGGGCTGGGGGCCAAAGAAAGAAGGGGGGCAATCCAACCCATAGGGAGCACTGGGAAGGGCTCCTTGTCCCTTAAATACCACCCCATCTATCTAGTGCCCAAAGCATCTTCCTCAGGCATTGGGAAGCAATATCACCTAGGGAGAAGAGACAGAGGGACAGACTCTGGGGAAGATGGGAGCTCGGACCCCTGCCTATGAGTGGATGGGACTAGGAAGGGGGTGAAAGCAGAATGGCAGTGGCCAGAGGAGAAAGAGACTTGGGGGCGGGCAGGACTTGGGGCCCCTGAGGCTCTGGGGCCACTTACCAGGCAACTGTTGTGTGAGGTTGAGTTCCTTCTGGTACCTGGGCTGAGTGTAGGACCAGAGTCGCACCTCAGCCCCCAGAGCAGCCTCGAAGCAGTCAAATACTACAGAGCCCTGTGAGGAGAGGAGTGGCGGAAGGCTGGTGGTATGGGGCTCAGAATAAAGGCCGAGGGCTCCACTCACCCCCTCCCCCAACCAATGACTCTGTGCTGTAAGGCCCGAAATTCTCCCATTAGTGTTTCCTCTAAAAGCCCCCAGCTCTAGGGCGCCTGGGTGGCTCAGTCGGTTAAGTGACTGCCTTGGGCTCAGGTCATGATCCTGGAGTCCCGGGATCGAGTCCCGCGTCGGGCTCCCTGCTCGGCGGGGAGTCTGCTTCTCCCTCTGACCCTCTTCCCTCTCGTGCTCTCTCTCTCGAATAAATAAATAAAAGCTTTAAAAAAAAATCACTTTAAAAGCCCCCCGCTCTAAAGCACACACCCTCAGCAAGGGTGTCAGCTGGGCAGGGATGAGGGCCCTAGCTCTTTGAGTCCCTGTCCCCACCGTGTTATCCCACATCACATGGCCAAAGTCAAGGTGATCAGATACCCCAGCACAAATGTGGGACAGCCCTTCCCACACCCAATGCCTCAGTGGTCCTCACAACTACCCCTTGAGGTGGGCCAGCAGACTTTCTCCCATTCTATAATTTTCCAGGCAAGAGGATATTGGCTGGGAGCTGGGGGCAGGGGCGGAAGTCAAAGGGTTTGAGTGGTTTGGCCCAAGTGGAGCTACATCTTCCAAACACATGTGGCCTCCTGAAGTAGGGAGAAGCCCCAACACCCCTCACCACGGTCAACACACAGGGCAGACATGGTATAGCAGAAAGTCCAGAGAAGTGGATCCAGCCCACGGCCTTCCCCTCTCCAACCTCAGTTTCTCTGTCTGGAAAATGAGGGTAATAATAATGCCTAGTTCATGTGTACTTCTGAGGATTACAAAGGAAAGGGAGAATGAAGTCTCGTGAGACCCTTCAGTGCTGGGCATTACATCAGCTGTTTTACACATACCAACTCATCTTTTTTTCACAACAGCCATATGAGATAGGACTATTCTTATTCCCGTTTTACAGACAGGAAAACAGAGGCAGAAAGGGCTTGCCCACAGCCCTGCCGGAGTCAGCACACAGACATAACACGCACATGAGAGCACTTCAGGACATCATACTTAGAAGACGGCTACTGCTACAATTATTATTTCGCATACCACAGACTGACCAGGCCGCGCGAGGGCAGCACGCACTTGCACCTCCAGCAGGACGCAGCGGGCAGTGGGGTAGGCCTGGAAGGAGAGCACCACTTGGGCCTGGAGAAAGGCTGTGAGCAACAGGGTGGGGCACTGGTCAGGCCCCGGGGCCACAGGCAAGGCCCTGGCTAGGGGCAGTTGGGCCAGCCGGGTTCTCCTCACCGTTCCTAGGCTCCTCAAGCTCTGGATCAGCTGCTATTCCAAACTTGTCCTCATCTTTAGGCTCTTCCCAGTGCCCTAGAAGGACCCGAGAACAAGGCCCAGGTCAGGCCCCGGCTCTGGGCCGGCTTTGGGCTTGGCTTCCTTCCTGAAAGCCCAGTGCTGAGAAGCAGGGGCCAGGCCTGGGGCCTTGGGGTGGGGGTGGGGGGAGACAGGGAGACCAGGCTGACCTGGGGGTCCTTTGGCCGGTGTTCTCCAGGAGAGCATTGAGGATGCACAGGACTGCCTGACAGACTCCCCAGTCCTTGTGCCCATCCCAGACATGCTGACGTGTGCACATACAGTTAGGGGATGACCTGCTCACCATGCACAGCCAAGTGGATGGCCACACGCACGCAGAGGTCACAGTCAGTCTCCTGGTGGCACCTCAGCACCAGCTCTGTCTGCAGGCGTGTGGGCACCAGCACAGGGCCCGGGGCAGACACAATGCTCCCAGGCAGGCAGAGCACGTCACCATCTGTGCATGAAGGGTGGGGTGGGAGCTGAAGCTAGAGGTTAGTTGCACCTGACACCCCCAGAGGGCCAAAGAGCTTTGGGCTCTTTCCTGGGCTGAGGGTGGGTGGTGAGGGCAGAGAACTGGAACATCTCCCCTCCCTCTGCCAACCCGGGCAGTTCTTTCCTTTCCAAAAGTACGGCTACTCACCCCAGAGGTGGCAGGAAAGGCCCTGGGAAGGAGGTAAAGACAAGTCAGAGCTTATGCCATCGAATCTAGCCATTTTTTCCCTGCCTCGTATCCCTGCCCACCCTTCTGGGGCTCCCCATTCAAGCCCCTCCCAGGAGAGGACAAATCCAGCTCTTGCCCCCTCCCCATTCTTCTCTTATCCCATCAGCACCAGACAGACCAGCCAGGGCAGTTCTGGTGGTAGTGACAGTGACAGGAGCCAAGCTAGGGCCTCCAATCGGCGGCGGACTGAACCCTGAGCTTTCCCCAACCCTCCCAGTACCCCAGACTTACTGGAGAGCAGCGGGCAGTGTCCTGAGGCCCCATAAGCTTCTCCAAAGAGAGGACCATGGGGCTTCGGCCCAGTGCCAAGGACAACAGGAACAAAGGCACAGGCATCTTCCAGGTACCAGGAGACACCAAGGCCCAAGGCCCTGTCCTGCCCCCCCCAAAGGGGGGGGCAGACACCGTACCTCTGCTCCCACTCAGCCCCAAGCCTGTGGGCATGAGGGGCCGGAATCCCTCTTCAGTCTGGGGTCCCAGTGCTGGCTTGAGCACTCCCTCTCCTGGGAGTCCTGAATCCTGTCCCAGTCCAGCCGGAGTGCTTTCGGTTTGGCTCCCGGCAGGCAGCTGGCTGTTCCCGCCCCGCCCTGTCCCTCCCACCAACACCAGGCCTGGGAGCCAGCAGCCTTGGACTGGGGTGGTGGCCTCCTCTCCTTTCCCTCTCCTCCTCCTCCTTCTCCGCTGACACCTGGCTGGGAGGGGCGCCTGAAGAGGGTGGCGGCATCACAGCTGAGTAAGGGAGCTCTTACTCACCCCAGGGAGTCGCTAAGGAAGAGGGCCTGGGCCATGCTGGGGCATTTCCACTGCCCCCATGAATCCGGGATTTGGTGCCCATTAGGTCCCCTCATACAGGGCACCCCCGGTCCCTTCACACATCTGCCAGGGACTCAGTGACCCTTTGTGGGACAGGCGCTCTAAAGGCAGGGACAAAGGGCATCAGGAAGTGGGCTTTTCACCACTTCCTGGCCTCTGCTCAAGTGTGGTAGGGAGGAAAGGAACTCAGGACTCAGAGCCAGGCAGACGGGGGTCCCATTTGTGCTGTTGCCATGTGCTGGCTGCATGACAAATGGACCTTTCTGAACCTGTTACAGTGAGGATCAAGATTTCCAGGTCCTCCTTTGCCTTTTCAGAGGCTTTGCTTGTGAGAATGTGAAGGATGTGGTTATGGGAGTGGACATGGAAGATCCCAGCCCACAAACAGGCATAACCCCCAGGCAGGGCTGTGCTGACCCCTCCTCCAACTCAGCACCCAAGGCACACTAGAGAAGCACACTGTCGCTTAACTTATCCATTAGGTTCACCTTTATTCATTTTTCTTGATCTTGGTTTCTACTGTCCCACCTCCGCCCTGGACACCTAGGGCCAAAACCTCTTTACCTGGGTCAGGCTCCCTCCCTCCATCCATCCCCTGGGCAGGGCTCCAGTCCGAGAAAGCAGCATCCCTGCCGCCTCCCCCCACCCCACCAAAGGGGTTTTCTCCCCTCCCCCCTCCCCCCACTGGCCTTACCCCTCACTCAGAATTGCCATCGCTCCTGCCTCCCCTAACCTCTGTCCCACACCTCCCTAGCCTGGACTGGAGCATGTGCAGACTACTCTTCCTGGAATTTTGAAGAAAAGAAGTGGGAAGATTCCCCCACCCCAAACAGGACTGCGAGCAGCGGAGCCCTCAGTAAACAGCGACTCTCCCTGCTGGTTCTGAAAGGGTCAACATGAGGAAGAAGCCAGACGTAGGGAAGGGGCTGGGACAGCGAGGGAAGTGCTCTGCTCCCAGGCTAGCAGACAGAGCATAAGGATTTTGGGCCAGTAGTCCTGAGGACGCACCCCAAGGATTCTAGGGTAGCAGGCTCATTCAGGGGGTCCAGCCAGTACCCCTACGCCTGTCTCTGCTCAGCCTCGGTTGGCAAAATTTGGCGGCCTCGCGTTCCAGCCGGTGGCACAGCTCCACGCGACCCCGCAGGCAAGGCCGATCCCCGAGGCGGCCTCGGCCGGTGGCTTCAGACGAGGGCCGTGCGTCTAGCGCCCGGAGCAGGCGTGGCAGGTCGCGCAGCAGGCGGTAGCGGGGCAGGGCGCGCAGTGGCGGGGGAATGTCGCCCTTGGCACAGAGGCGACTGAAGTAAGCGAGCAGCAGCAGGGGGCGCGGGGCGGCGCGGAGCAGGGCGCGCAGGGGCGCCGAGTGGGGATCCCGGCCGCGGGCTGGACTGGGGCCGGCACTGCTCCACAGAAGCAGCACGGTGCCCCGCTCCTGCGCCACGCGCGCCCGCGCCGCCCACAGCCACGGCAGCGGGCCCACGCGCGCCACGCGCGTCCCCTCCCACAGGTCCACGATCACGTCGCGCCCGCCGCCCAGCGCTGCCCGCAGTAGTTCAGCCAGCGCTCCCACCAGGCGCCGTTGCGCCTCGGAGTCCGCCACATGCAGGAGCAACACCGGCCGCGCTCGGCCAGGGCCTGGGGGCGGGAGTAGCAGATGAACAGGGTGGGGGTCTAAGGGAGAGCCCAGCACTTCCTCTCCTCTACTCCACCTCCATTCTACCCCTCCTCCCCGCCTTGGGGCTAACTCATCCGATGCCCCACCTGGTTCCTTATCTGCCCTGGGGGGGTGAGTACCCAAGGCAACTTTAGCCTATAGGGTGTCTTTGGGCTAATTAGATAAAAGCGTCCGGAAGGGGCCAGGTCTAGGGCGCCAGGTTTGGCAGGTGCAGCGCCGGCTGGATTTCCGCCTCACTGGTCTCTTCCCAGAGACCACGAACAGTGAACCATCTGCACAGAGGGACCTTTGCTCTGCCTTAACCATTCCTGACCACTAGGGGGCCTGAGGCTCACCACCTTGGAGAGCAGAGAGCCTGCTGCAGCAGCAGCGGGATGGCTCTTCCGCAAGGGAGCCTAGGCAGGGGAAGGGTGAGGGGCAACTAGCTTAGGCCCTGTGCAGATCTGAATCCTCAAGTTACCCAGAGTGAGCTTACCTGACAGCGGGCGCCGGCGGGTGAAGACCAGAACAATGCCCAACAGGGTGGCGAGGGCCAGCAGTGCCAGGATCAAGAGCCCCAAGTGTCTATGAGAGACTGAGTCAAGCAGGGTGAGGCCAAGCCAGGCTCCTCAGTGCCCAACCTCCTTTTTACCCCACCCCTCCTCTCCCAAGAACTCACCATCTGGACACAAGAGGTGCTTCCAGGAAAACTGAACATCTGACCTCCACACCTGAGGGCACAGAGCCCCCCATCTGTGAGCCAGGGTAGCCCCTCCTCCCAGGGGAAGTTGAGTGGGGACAGAGAAGGGGAGTCCCCCTAGATAGGGAATTTCTCCAGCACAGGGTTTGTGTTTGGTCCAGCTCTGGCTGGGCACACAACAGGTCAAGAGTGGCAACCCAAAAAATAAACTTAAAGTTGGCCAGGGTGTCCCTGAGGACCGGGAGGGCCCAGGCCCTGAATGAAGTAATCAGATGCCACTGAGCTCAAGCACGTTGTCACCATGCCTGAATGTGGACACAGAGTACCAGGTTTTCTGATTTTTCCAGGAGAAGCCAGAAATCAGCTTTTTAAAATATGACCTCTCCAATATTTAAATGGTAGCAACTCATTCCAATTTCAAACACCATGCTGGCCAAACCAAACATTTTTGCAGACTGGACTTGCCCCATCTGCCACCTGTAGAGTAGATGCTAGGGGGGTGTGTACAGAGTGAGGGCAGGATTCCTTACCAGGACACAGCTCCCTGGCTTCAGGAAGGGAATGATGAGATCTAGTGTCACTGGGCTTGAGCCCTGAGTCTGTGGGAACAAAGAGCAGAATGACTGTCCCCATAGAGTCAAATCTGGCTCTGTCCAGTCTGAGTCTTTGCTCATACTCTTCTTCCTTTCTACCCTCCCCCCCTCACCCAAATCTTACCCAGGCTTAAGGCCAAGTGCCACTGCTGACAAGAAACAAGTCTTCCGGGGCGCCTGGGTGGCTCAGAGGGTTAAGCGTCTGTCTTCAGCTCAGGTCATGATCCCAGGGTCCTAGGATCAAGTCCCGTATCGGGCTCCTTGCCCAGAGGGGAACCTGTTTCTCCCTCTGCCTGCTTCTATCTCTGCCTTTATTTATTTGAGAAAGAGAGTGAAAGAGCACAAGCAGGGGGAGCGGCAGGCAGAAAGAGAGGGAGAAGCAGGCTTCCCCACCGAGCAGGAAGCCCGACATGGGGCTCGATCCCAGGACCCAGGGATTATGACCTGAGGTGGGGCTCGATCCCAGGACCCAGGGATCATGAACCCAGGGATCATGATGACCTGAGCCAAAGGCAGACGCTTAACGACTGAGCCACCCAGGCGCCCCCAAAATCTTAAAAAAAAAGAAGTCTTCCCCCTGCTTCATTCTCAAGCATCCCACTGATCATTCCCAGATCAGGTAATCAGCACAAACATGCTCTGGGTGTCTACTTTGCATCAAGCCCCGAATAAGAACACACAGATGTTGTCTCTGTCCTCCAGCAGCACATAAACCAAGGAGCCTAACTATATAACCTGCCTTCCTTCTCTGTCCCACATATCTGAAGGGATGGCTTGTCCACTGGAAAGAACCTAAGATGTGAAGTCAGACCACAGTTAAAAAAGTCAGGCTTAACTATTGCCTTTGTGGTTCCTAGCTGTGTGATCTTTGTATGGAGATAGGTTCCCTCCCTCCCTGACCCTCAGATTCTTCATCTGTATATGAGGACTAATAATCTTTATTTTACTGGGTTATTGAGAGCGTCACATGAGAATATGCATGTTAACACCCTCTATCATACACAGTGCAGGGTGTATTCCTTCAGTAGTAGTAGTTATGATTACACTGTGGACTCCTTAAGGGCAGAGACTGTGTTATATACTTTTCTTGTATCTCCCAGGTTAGGCACAGAGCAGGGATTCAATAAATGCATGCTAAATTGGACAGAATTGATTGCCATCTATATATGGGCAGGATATGGCTCCACCCTATGTTCTGGGTGTTGGTTAGGGAGTTGACCAGAATCTCCATCCAGCAGATGCTGACGCAGTGACTCTCAAATCATGGCTGAACTCAATGAAGGTGGTCTTCTCCCAGCTCACAGAAACAACTGAGTCCATGGATTTAGCTCTCAATTTTAGGTTATCCCATGGGACTTTGTCTTAAATCTTAAGCATGGCTTGGTGTTAAATCTTAAACATTCTTAAACATTTGCTACCACCTATCTGCTTGGGAGCCCTCAGAGAATGCAAGACAAATAAGCAAGCTACAAGTGAGCGTTTAAGAAAGAATTGGAAAGAGCTAGTCATGCTTAGTCAGATTGGCGCTGTGGTTTGACGGATATATTTGATTGTGGTTTTTGTATCAGATACACAGAAGAAAGTCTGCTAGTCAAACTGTTCTTAGTTCACATAATAAAGTTAAATCTGCCAGTAGTTCACAGTATTCTGCAAAGAGCACCTCAGCTTCCAGGGGCTCTGCCTCCCAAGATAGTTAGGGAAAGTCTGCCAAGTGCCTTGTGGAGACAAACAGGAACACAGGGGTAGAGGACAGCTGGGTCCAAGAGAAGGCATTGGTACAAAATGTGGCGAAAGACTGAGTGGGTCAGAGGACAGCTGGATGTGGGACAGCCAGTCTCTTGCCTCTGTTTATCTCCTGTAAGTTCAGAAACTAAAAGGATTAGAAACTGCTCCATGGAAGCCCTCACTGACTGGCAGAGGAATGAGCTGAACAAAGATTGAGCAAGTAAATAAATAACCAGATGATATAAGTTAGATATTTGCTGGTCTCCACTTGCTGTGCTCTGAGCAACAAGACGGGGTGGGGGGGCGGGGGGGGAGCCCTGGCTAGGCCATACCTGGCTGATGCTGTACACGGGGCGCACCAAGCTGTCCTGCCCCAAGCTTTGGTGGCTCCAGGCAGCACTGAAGGTGGCGTGAATCCTTGAGGAGAAGTGAAGGACCAGCTGCTGGGCCTGGGTATCCATGCTAACATTCCAGGATGGGGCTGCCAGGGTGGGAAAGGGCATCATGGGAGACATTCTGTTTGCAGGAGGTGATAAGAGCTGGGCTGTAGTTGCCAGAGAAATCAGAACAGGGCTCCAGTCTGGCTTGGTCACAGTTGGGTAAGGGTTCAACGGTGGAAGGGGGTCCCAGCCAGGGTCACTTAACGGCTCACCAGTCCGGTGGGGGCATTCAACATGGCTGCTATTTCCAAATGAGAACTGAGAAATCCAAGAATGGCAAGTCAGCAAGCTCCAGGCACCATCCATACCCCTCCCCATTCACTGTCACCCACACTTGTACCTTGAAGCAGAGCTGGGGGTGCAGGTCTACGCTCTCCAAGACATACCACTGTGGTAGGAGAAGGGGGTTAGTCAGGGAGCAGGGCCCTGAGCCCCAGCCCTGCCCACTCAAGTCCTGGGGTGGCCTGTCTCACCCCCTCTGACTCTTGAGCCGTGGCATTGGGGAGGTCTTCGCAGATGGTGTGCCAGCCCTGCCTCTGGCAGAGGGAGGCCTCCAGCTTTAGCGGGCAGCGGAGGGTCAGGGCCATGACCATCTGACTGTGCTGGCTGTAGTCAGTAAAGTGCACTGACTTCCAGAAGTCCGAGCCATCTGGGTGGGCAGCAGGCAGAGACAGAGAGTGAGGCCCAGGGAGGCCTGGGCCCTGCTTTGGCCTCAGCCTCACTTTGCATCCCCATCCCCGGGGGCACCAGGGGATGACTTTGTGAAGGTGCCCAGCACAGTTGCTGACGTGTCTAGGTATCCAATAAATGAGCATGTCTTCTTCAAGACCTTTTATGACTTTTCTACTTCATTGTCTCACCTCCTTCCTGTGCCTCCATTCTGGCCAGCTCTCTGCTGCTCCCCAAAGTCAAAATCTGCAGATCTTTGCTCAGGTTCCTCTCAGAACCAGGGATGTTCCCCTTGCTACTCTCCTTTTGAAATAACCGCCCCTTTTCTGAGCCCACCTCACGTGTCACCTCCTGTAAGAGACCTCTGATCAGACCGCCTTCATGGGCTTCTCCCTTTCCTGAGTTCATGGCCTACAGCCCAGTCCTCAATTCTAACAGTGCCCTGGACTTTAGGCTGCTTTGCACTATTCATTTGTTGTGTTTCAGGGCCCTGCCTCTTTAACTTGGGGATGACAACATGCGCACAGCATTTTAGACATCACCAGCCACTTTCACATCCAATATCAAATGCAAGCCTCACCAACAGTTGGAAAGTAAGGCAGGGCAAGTATCACTACTTCACTGATGAAGAAACTGAGGTTCAGAGAAGAATAAGTGGGATGTGACCCCAGGACTTTGGGGCCATCCTCTTAGGACACTACCTCCTGGGTCTCATATTCCTGAACCTCTCACAGCAGCTAGTGCAATGTTCAATACTCTGATTGGTAGATACGGTAGCCCTTTCCCCCCACCAACTCCAGGGAAAGTGCCTGCATGCCTTCTGGGGGCTTCCTCCACAACACAGGTGTGCAATGTGTGTGAGTGTGTGTGTAAGAGACTGAGAGAGGCTGTGAATGCACATGTGCAGCACTTACAGGCTTCAGGCCAGTTCCGGAAGGGACATTTTTTGCGCCTCACGGTGTCCTCTTGTAGGTAGGATGCCTGGGGGGACAGGGGAACAGTCAGGGAGGGTCATAGGAAATTCTTCTCCTCTATCACTCAGACCTGAAACTCCTGGCTTGACCTCACTCTGATGCAAGCTGCCCGAGCCAGCGGGGCATGGAGGAGGGGAAGCGGTGCAGGGTGTGGGCAAGGGTTGGTGGGGCATGACCAGAGTCTAGGAGCAAAATCAGTAAATGGGAGGCTGAGTCCTCTTCTCCCTGGACGGGAGAACCTATCCTCCCCAGAAAGAGGGGAGGTCCACATTCCTCCACTTTTAGCTTCCCTGGCTTCCCACGGAATGCCCTGTACAGACCCCTCCCTCTGGGCCGCCTAAACACCCGGGGGTTGTCCACCCCTGCAGCTGCTCCCTGCCCCACGTGTCCTTCTGTACCTTCCCTTTTATCTCCTCCTGGTCGACAAAGTCCCCTGCATTTTCTATCTAGTCCAAAAAAATCTTAATGCTAGGCATCTCAGCTTCGTAAGGAGCAGGAGACTGCCATTGAGGGCTCATGGAGACGAGACTTTTGGAGCCATATGGGACATGACAGTGGCCACACATGCCCTCCCCGTTCCCCGCCCCCCACCCCATGACTCCTCAGAACACAAAGTGAAGGCAACTGTGTATTCTGTCTCTGTGGGCTGAGGCCAGTCTGAACCTAGGAAAGCTGGGTTTGGGTAGGACTGAGGTTGGAATCACCCCCCCAAAATATCTCATGTTCAGCAGGACACTTCCATCTCTGACCCAGTGTGTGGCTCACAGTCAAGCTGGTAGCCATCTTCCCAAGCATCAACTCAACACCCAGTCTTTTTAAGACCTGACTTACTGGAGATACGCTTGACCAACTGTGCCTCTGGGAGACCTAGAAGTGGAGCCATGGACAACCCAGACCTTTCCCTCTGCTCACCTCTATGCATAGACAGGGCAGAAGGAATTCATAAGGCAGTTCTACGGCATGGCCCCCAGACACAGTTTTCTGTTGACGGAGCAGCAAAAGGAGAGAAGAAATGCCTGAGAAAGAGCTTAGGCACCCCGGACAAGGGCAGTAGGAAGCTGGGACCTTGGCCAACACACCCTGTTTTTCCTCTTATCTGAGAAATTTCCTTTTGGGGTGGGGGGGCATGTCCCTGCTCTGTAGTCTGTTTGCTCTAGGTATCTCAATATATGGAGTGGGGAGAAGGAGAGAGTAGGGAAAGGATTATACATTTATGGAGCCCCTACTGTATGCCAGATAGGCTGCTAGGTGCTAGAAGCATTAACTCAACTAACTGAACGCTAGCATCACAGTGATCTTCATTTAGAAATGAAGAGAGCTGAGGGCCTGTGAGGTACAGCCTCAGTCCCTGCAAATGGTACCAACCACATACCAGGGCATCTACAGCAACTGGAGGTTGAAGAGGGGTATGAGGCCTGGGCTGAGTGAATGGGGAACATCTCATTCTCTGAGGGGCAACAGCAAAAGGAGGGAGATGGAAGGGTACCAAGACAGATGTGACCGCTTCTTGGGGGAACTGAAAAGCCTTCTTAAGGCAACCGGAATCTCGCTGAGGGTCTTCTCACTGGGGATATATGCTGTATTCATTTCTCTGCTAGGTACTCATGGTTGCTCCAAGTCTCTCTTTGCCCTTTTCCTTCCTTTCCTCCTAGGTGACAAGGACCCCTGCATTTTCTGTCTAATCCAAAGAAGGCTTAATGCTAGGCACTTCGGACTTATAGGGAGGTCTTAGACAATGACTGTCCCTCTCTGGGCCTTAGTCTCCCCATGTATACAATGGGGAGGTACTTTTTGCTCCAGAACTGTGTGATCTGGCTTTTTAAAGGGAGACAACACTCCATACCTGGGAGTCGAAGGGACTGCTCAGCTCCTCACATTCTAGTACCCACTGGTGACAAAGACGCACGCTGACCTCAGGTCCTGGAGGAATGGTCACTTGAATAGCCCGTGCCTCAGGCAGCAAATCAAAGGAGAACTCAGGCCCTGGGGAGAAGGGAGACCTGGTAGCCTTGTCTCTTGGCCTAGGCATAGGCACCAATACTTGGCTGCACCCATCTCTGGCCACACCCTATGCCTACCTTCATGCCTTTGTGAGCTGGGTCTGGGGAGACCTTCCAATGCCTTTGGATCTGAAGGTTGGGTCCTTTTAGAGCGCAACCCCTTGTGAGAGATGTCTGGGGAGGAGACAGCAATGTGATGACCCTTTTCAGACAGGCAACAGCTACTCAGCAGCTTCCTCTGTAGGCAGAGAACATGGTTGGCCTTAGGCCAGGAATCAGGCTTTTATTCCTGCTTCTGGAACCTGAGGCACCACAAGCAAGTCACTCAATCTTTAGGCCTTGGTTTCCCTAACTGTGTAATGGACAGAATAGTCTACTTCATTGCCATGCTTTCTATCTTTCACGTGGCTAGAGAACAAAACGAGAGGCTGGGAATGAAAGGGCTGTGGGGTGGAGGGCAGGACTGGAACTGGCAGGGGGAGTACCTGAGCAGATGTTGGCATCTTATGTCTCCTACAGAACTGGAACTTATAGGACTTTTTGTATTTCTGCACAAGGAGGTGGAACCAGCCCTCCGGGAGGCCTGTGCAGAAAAGGACATATTTACTATCCAGCCCTTCACTGCCCCTCTCCTACCTGGAAATGTGGCCTGATGTTAGATAGTAAGTCATTTCAGATCATGGAGGTTAGTAGTATCAAGTTCTTTAGTCCTGAAAGTTATGACACAGCCAAAAAAAGATTAATTCCTTAAGTAGAGAAAAAACTATATATATGCAAAAGTGTCCATTGTAGCATTATTTACAACAGTGAAAAATTAGAAACTGCGAATTCTTAAGCAGTGTTTGGACATTTAGCATGTGCCAGGCATTGAGCTAGGCAATGAAAACACAGAGTTGAATAAGAAAGATTGGTGCGCCTGAGTGGCTCAGTGTTAAGGCGTCTGCCTTCGGCTCAGGTCATGATCCCAAGGTCCTGGGATCGAGCCCTGCATCGGGCTCCCTGCTCAGTGGGACGCCTGCTTCTCCCTCTCCCACTCCCCCTGCTTGTGTTCCCTCTTTCGCTGTGTCTCCCTCTGTCAAATAAATAAATAAAATCTTAAAAAAAAAAAAAGATCTTACTTTGCAAATAGAACGTAATAATAGTAAACTCATAGAAATAAAACAATTTAATCTCAAGCATCCATACCAGTGGAAAGGAGAAATACCTTCACAAAATGATACTGAACCCATGAATATAATTCGTGGTATGCTACTTTAGGGTGACGTGTCTCTGTTGAGGTTGACGATAGGAGAGACATCTGTTCTAGTATGATAAATCCCACTTTCCTCAGCCTGGGCCTCCCCCCCAAAAAAACCCCTAATTCACATCTCCACTGAGAATAGCCAAAAGGGCTGTTTTTCATACCTGAAGGATCTGACACCAGACGCAGGCACAGATAGGGGCAGAGCCAGAGCTGAGCACACCAAGGCTTTAGGGACACAGGAAAGGCCAACTGCGTATGGCAAGGAATATGGGCAGACCTTCCTGGGAAAGATGAAAAGTAAATCAAATGGTAAGGTCCAAGGAGGTCCCTCCTGCCTCCGACAAGGTGGACTTGAAGCTGAGATGTGTGGCTTTGCGCAAGTTACGGACTTCTCTAAGCCTCAGCTTCCTCATTTATAAAGTAGGACTGTTGTCAAGATCAAGTGAGATAATGTGTGGGAAAATGATTTGTAAACCAGAATGTACCATTAGATATGAAAGGTCGTTGTCGTAGCACTGACAGGAATGAGGAACCAGTTAAGGGCGAGTGCCTAGAGGTTATCCTGTTTCTCCTTTAATCCTCCCCACAGCTCAGGGGAGGTGCAGTCATTTCTATGCCCCTGCTCTACCCCTCGGAAACGGGGAGCCAGAGGGGCTAAGTGCACTGCCTTCAGCTACATGTGGAGTATGTGGTGGAAATGCAATGCAAATCCAGGCTTGTACTGATTCTAAACCCTGTGTTTTTTCCTTGATATGCTACTTCCCAAGTTGGGAGCCAAAAATTTGAATGGAAAGTTCGCTAGGGATCTGGAACAAAGGGACACAGAAGAGAAGCAGGGCAGGGAATGAGACTCACCAGTGAGAGTGTCTTCCTGAAGGCACAGGGCCCAGTAGGGGCAAGAAAGGAGAGAAGAATTATTAGTAGGGATTCCTATGGGGGGGGGGTTCTCCCTGGGGTCTTTGCCTCAAATCACCTAATTCCAAGGCCCATAACCTAATAACCCATCCACTCTGGCCCTTGTCTTCCCAGCTCGACCCTGCCCAGGCCTTCAGCAGACCAGAACCTTGGCTACCCCTTCAAGACCAGATAGAGGACACACTGAGGCTGCTACCAGGGCACAGGGACTTGGGAGACATGAGAGGACAGGCAGAAGCGCGGGGAGCTTTACCAGCCTGTGGCAGGGAGATGTCCCTACTGGGCAGCGGCAGCATTACCTTACCATGTGGGAGGCCAGCAGACAGTGGGTGCTCCAGCGGGGCAGGTAGGGGCAGCCAATTCCGGCCGAGGCAGAGAGGCCAATGAGGAGCAGGAGGAGAAGCAGGAGCGGAGCTGCCAAGCTGGGGCTCCCCATGGGCTTCCGTGGGGTCAGAGCACCCAGAACATGGCTGCACAGCCTGAAGGGGGGCAGCGGGCCCTTGCTGTGCAGCCGCGGGAGGGCAGTGAGCAGGAGTCTTCGTCTCTGCCTGCCTGCCCCTGCCCCGCCCTGCCCCAAAGCTCCTCCTCGATCCTAGATCCTAACCAGCCAGCTAGGCCACATTCCTTCTCCTCCTAGCGGAGGGACAGAAGGACGGTTGCCCCCCAGAAGGCCCTACTGCTCCCACCTGGAGGGCAAGGGGCTCCTGCTCTGGCAGAGAAATAACAGGAAAGAGGCCAGCACGGGGTTAGGGGGATGGAGGGCTGTCCCCGCATCTTAACCCCTCCTACTCCTGCAGCACCCTGCAGATCTGACCCGCCCACTAACGCTCTTGGACTTGGAGCTTCCTTGGAGATTTGCTTCATCCCCTCGCTTGGAGAACGAAGGAACTCTTAGGCACTATTCTACAATGGGGTCTGCAGACAGGTGACTGAGGCACCATTTAGAGTGGAGCAGGGCAACAAGAAGTCACTGTAGGACGCACGTACACCTCACATGCCCCCATATGCATCCTACCTCCCACCTGGCTGACCCTCAAGACTGCAGCCCAGCTTTCCGTCTCCACCCAGCTCCTCTGGGCAAAGGGCCCCATGCCAAAGGGGCCTCCAGCTTCAAGGATCCCCTCATCAGTACCGTCGGCTCGAGAAGCCCCAGAGCACATAGCTGAGCTGTGGAGCTGAGGGAGCAGGCCCCACGCACTGACCTGGTTTCCTGTGGTTTCTGATGCTGACGAGGCTCCAGGCTTTGTGGGGACCCTCCCCATCATCCCACAGCTTCCTCCTGCTCATGGAGCATTTGAGCTGCTTCAGTCCTTACCTTGGTGACACACACAGAAAGCAAGTTTGGGGCACACGTACGGGGTTAAGTCATCTTGATATTGTTACTGTCACTCTGCACCTTTCAGGAGCCTGACCTGAGCCTCCCTGAAGCTGATTCTAGATCGTGAGTCTTCAGGTCCACTGTCTGAAGACCCATCATACTCATCCTAGAAACATCCTCTGGCTTTTGAGTTCCTTAAAAGATAAGGACCCTTTCCTATTCTTTACGTTCTCCAATGCCTAGCAGTGGATGTCAAGAAATAGGGGGTTTTGTAGTGGAATAACTGTAAATAATGGTACGTTTCATTTAAGCAGCAGTTTATCTGCTTCACATTTTACAAGCACTTTCATGTTTGATCCACCTAATCATGAGACAGGTAAGTGAGAATTTTTCTTTTCATTTAGTAAAGAGAGGAATAAGGAAGCAGAAAGAACAGTGATTTTGTCAAGGTCTCTAGCCCAGAGAGCTCCAGTTCTGCCACCTCTCATAGTTCATTTCTCTTTCTACCAGCCTATGGTTTCTTTTCCCACTGCCTCACCTCATTCTGCTCCTGGGAACCCAAAAGGCTTTGCCTGGCACAGTTCTGTGTTTTGGCCTTGGAGCCCATCACTTTGAAAACAGATCAGTAAGATACAAAGGAAGAAAAGGGTGGTCTGGCCATACTAAGAATGGTTAGGGAGTCTTCTCCTCAATTTTTACCTAACCCACAGTGGTTTAGATCTACATAAATAATGCATTTTTCAATGCTGAGGGCATGAAGTGAGAAACTTGGTTCCATTCTAGAATACTTCTTTTTTTTTTTTAGATTTCATCCATTTATTTGAGAGAGAGAGAGAGAGGAGAGAGAGAGCACAAGCAGGGATGGAGGGGCAGAGGGAGAGGGAGATGCAGGCTCCCCACTGAGCAGGGAGCCAGACATGGGGCTCAATCCCAGGACCCTGGGATCATGACCTGAGCCGAAGGCAGACACTTAACCAACTGAGCCACCCAGGCATCCCTAGAGTAATTCTCTTTCTTGACCTCTTGTATTTTCTGATCTGTCATAGTGAAAATATTGCCTTAATTGCTCCTGACCCTGGCTAAGGTATGGTAGGAGAAGCAGAAAAGAAATAAAAGGATCCACATTCATACATACAAAAGAAAAAAAGAATAGAAAGGGAAAAAAATGAGAGCATAGAAAAGGAAAAGGAATTAAGGTGAGGAAGAAAGGGGGAAAGAAAAGAGAAAAGAAGGTTTGTGCTTTATTTATTGTCTTGCTGGTTTGCCTATTGATTATTGACAGGAGCCTAAAAAAAGATTTAGGGTGATTAATTCCCCAGGCGAATTCAGGCACATCTGGGAAAGAGTAGGGAATCAGTTCAAGATTTGCTAAACTCTTACTATCAGACTGGAGGCCATATGCTTTGCCCACTTATCTCATTTTATTAGTACTACAACCCTTGAGGTCAGTCTTTTTAAACCATTCTACAGACTGGAAAACACTAGGAAGATTAAGGAACTTGTCCAAACACAAAAATGGAGATCTGGGACTCAGCACCGTGTCTTTCTGGCTCTTTCTGCCAGAACATACTGCTTGGGGAGATCTGTGAGAAGTCAGAGGGTTTGTGGGCCCTAGAGTCCACAGAATTACTAGATTTAGCAGTGCAATGTAGTTGGCAGGGTTAACAGTGTGAAGGAAGAATTTGGAATAGTTGAAAAGAACAAAGGGAAAGTAGGTCTTATGATAGTGAGTTAATGGTTCAGACTCCCAGACTAGCAGGGACTGTTTGGCAAGAGTCAACAAGGGAGGAGTATCTGTGGCTGAATTCAAGGTAGCCAAATGTAGTAAAAGCCAACTGCAGCACAGAGGCCCTGTCTTTTTGGAAGATGGCCGAAGCCTATCTTACTTGTGGTTTGTGTCTGAACGAGCTAACTCAGACTTCATGCTCTAATAACCTTTACTTGGGGACCAAGCCAGGAGCTCAGGAAGTCTTGGCAGGCCCCTGCACATGCTCAGAGAGAGAGCACACTGTGGGGGCCTTGGACAGCTGTTTTTCTTGAGTCTTACCCTTACATGGACTCTTGTCAGACCATGCAGCAGCATCTCCAGGCTCTTTCTGTAACAGCTGATTCTTAAAGTCTCTTGGGGCAACTGGGCCTGTTAGGGCACCTTTGGCAGGAAGGGCCAACACATAGACCAATGTAAACCAAGAGTGGACGAAGTGTTCCTTCCTTACTTCTGCTCTTCCAGTAGGGATCAACCTCCAGAATTCCAAGGCAAGAGATTATGCCTAAGAGGAGATAGGGACTCCCAGTCTGAAAGGGGAAAGTTAACAATTCTCATCAAGGGAAGGCATTTTGGTATTTACTAAGCACCTGCTATGTACTCACTATTCATATACATTATTTAATCCCTACGATCTCAGTAGCTACTATGATCCCCGTGTGTCAGATCAAAATCAGAGACTCAAGTATCTCGCTTAAGGCAAAAGGCAGAATTCCAACCTAAGTCAGTCTAATATCAGAAGCTATATTCATTCCACTATGCCACACTGCCTTTCTCATGGACTAGATGCTCTCTAAGAGTCCCTCCAATGCCTATAGTCTAGGTCTGCAAACATGAGGGAATAACCATTCCTCACATTTATATAGTGTTACATAGTTCACAAAGCACCTTCATAATACTTCACCTTATTTGGTCTTCAAAACAATCCTGTGAAATAGGCAGTGTTGATTTTAGCCATATGATTAGGTGTGCTGGTACTCGAGCCCATCTTCCACTGTCCAAATGCAGCGCTCTTCCCACTAAATCAAGATCTCTTTTGAAGGGGATCTTGTTTGCTTCAGGGAATACTACAACCATGAGGCAGGAAAAAAATGATTGGAAAAGCAGAATCCCAATAACCCAACAAGAAGAAAACTAAAATAAACCAAATGGCTTTTTTTTTTTTTTGCACTGACAGTAATTTCCATAATGGGTCTTCAAAAGCACTCTAAGACTGTAAAGTATCATTCCAATAATCAAAGAAAAGTTTAACTTAAAAAAATTTATTTGCATCCCAATTCTTTAAAAATTAGCAATTTGTGCCTGGTGCACATAATTCCATCACTCACACATTTCCATCTGCTTTTCTTTGCTCTCCAAATTCTACCCCTGCCTCAGTCTAATTCTTTCCTCTGTGCAATACATCCTGTCTTCAGTCTAGAGTAGGACAAGTTACTTCATTCAACAGAGTGCACACTATGCATCAGGTACTGGGCAAGGGGTGAGGAAAAGACATGTCAACAAATAATTCTGTCAATAAGAGGTAAAATAAAAATGTCACACAGGGGATGCCTGGGTGGCTCAGTCGTTAAGCGTCTGCCTTCGGCTCAGGTCATGATCCCAGGGTCCTGGGATCGAGTCCCACATCGGGCTCCCTCGTTGGCGGGAAGCCTGCTCTCCCTCTCCCACTCCCGCTGCTTGTGTTCCTGCTCTCACTATCTCTGTCTCTGTCAAATAAATAAATAAAATCTTTTAAAAAAAAAAAGGCACGCGAATTCAAAGAAAGGGAAGCAACCAGAAGGCTCCTGAATCACCATATAAACTGAATCTTGAAGGCTAAGTAATAAAGGCATATAAAGGTCTAAAAGGGGAATTTTAAAACAAACTGGGAAAACATGAAAGTGATACGGGGATTCAGGAGGTTCTATTGACTGAGAGACTGTGAGAGTGTGGGGAGATAATGTAAGACTGGTGTGCACTGAAATCACACCTTGGAAATGTCTGAGAGATTAAGGTATTTTGATTGTTCAAAAAACAATGGCACATAGTAGAGATTTGATGATGATCTAGAACTGTGCTTTTGGTATACTCACCTGCACACAGGGATGCAGGAAGAGGTATGGGTGAGGTAGAAGACAAGGAGTTAAGTTTGGGGCACATGGAGTTTGAGATGATAGTCAGGACATGTAGAGGAAGAGGTTTTGCAGTATAAGTACTGCCAGTATCGAAGAGTGACTGAGTATATACCTAATGTTTATAGAATAAAAGGACTAAAAACAAACAAAAAACAAAAAATGACTAGAACTCTGGAGAGGACAGAGGTCTGTAATTAGAGATCTGGACATCATCCAGGGACAAAAAAGTCAAACGGACAAGAACAAAGGGACACGCATCTTTCCTGCAGTAAACATTTACTGTGTCAGACTTTTAGATGTGAAAAGGGGCTTTAGTTCACAGATCTCTTTCCCACTTCCATTTTTAACTTATCTGCTCCATGCCATTAGATACTGTGTTTATTAGTTGTTTCACATGTATATCATGTTTCACCCAGATTACATGCAGGGATACTTTAAAATTCTTTTGGATACCATATTATTGGACACATAAATGACAATTTGTTAACACTGAATGATAAACATGAATATCCTACCAAAAGAAGAGCCCATAACCCAAGCAGGATAAATGAGAATGGACCATTTTACAGGTGGAGAGATTAAATGTATGGCCCGTGATAGTTTCTGTCAATCAGCCGCAGGGCTGCTACTATGACTTAGGTTCTCTACACCCAGTTCACTTCTCTACTGCTACTTCCAGGTTTCTTGGGAAACTTCTACCTACTTCCTTGTGTCTACGGCCACTCAAGCAACATACCTTTCACAATTTATCAAATTCCAACACCAGGCACAGGGTTGACAAGGTAGTTGTAATTTTATTGAAGTTTTTAATTAAAATGCTTTGCAGTAGAGACCACAGCCTGCAGGGGGAGCCTCCCAAATGTTTCCTGCCTCACCACCTACAGATTGAAGTAGAATTTGATTTATTCCCTATCTCTTTCAGTCTTGACGGCTAAGGGGTAATGGATGGAAGCGGAGAGAATGACCAAGAAGAGGCAAGGATGAGACTCCGTCTTAACGAAAAACCCTGGAGGGCCTCAACTTCAACCAGTTGAAGTTTGCTTTATAGTTGTTGATCACCCAGTTCCAGCCAACCAGGAATAAATTAAATATAGTTTTGCCACCTCAGCTGATGGCAATAGCTTTCCAGAATGTGGGCCTAGTTTGCACTAGCTGCCAAAATCACCAACAATTTCAGAACAGCTCCTCTACCTTCTCACTCGGCTCAACAGGAGGCCCAGGCTTCACCCCACAGAATAGTCCATAAGGCAGGCTTCATTTACGCTTCTTCTCCTGTGTGCTGGTGAACCAAGAGTCTAGGAGCTTCTTGCTGTAGTATAACTGCCAGGCATGCACTTGAACCGCCAGCACCAACACCAGGTACATGACAGAGACGGCAGAAAAACCAAAGAGGAAGCGGTAAGCCTTTCCATGGCGGTAGAGCTGCTGTGCAGCAGGGAACATCTCCATGCTGCCATAAATGAGGGGAGCTATGGAAAAGAGCCCCATGCTGATCATGGAGAGCACCAGGTAGCTAATGTTGTTTCGAGGGAAGGAGAGGAGGCCCAAGAGAGAAGGCACAATGCTCAGCAAATATGGGTATTCCCACTGATAGGGCATGGCCACCTGATCATGTGACAATAGCCTCAGGTGTCCCACGCTCATCTTGGCAACCAGCAGCAGCCATATGACCAGATGCACGTAGATCAGCTTCTTGATTTCATACTTGAGGGTCACACTGTGGGGCAGAGCAGAAGAAGTACCTTTCATTCAAAATTTTCTGACAACCAACTATATGCCAGGCAACTATACTGACACTGGGTTACAAACATGAGTAAGATATAGTCCCTGCCTGGATGCTTGGGGACAAGGAACAAAAGAAAAACTAAGGGGTGTCTGGGTGGCTCAATCAGTTAAGCGTCTGACTCTTGATCTCAGCTCAGGTCTTGATCTCAAGGTTGTGAGTTTAAGCCCCACGTTGGGCTCCACACTAAGCATGGAGTCTACTTAAAAAAATAAAAAGAAAAAATAATTAGAAAATGAACTGGAAGAGCTCTAGTAAATATAGGTTGCCAGATATATGAATATCACAGGAAGGAGTAATCAGTTCAGCTTAGGATGGGATGTCTGAGAAGGCTATCTAGAGGACAGGGATATTTGATAGGCTCTGAAGGGTGGGTGGTAATTATCAGAGGTAAGAGCATGCAGGCAAAAAGACGTAAGCATTGTATTCCAGAAAAGCAGGTGGTGTGGCAGGAATACTTTGTAGTGGGAAGGGAAGAGCAGAATCTGAAGTTGCAAAGAGTAACTCAGAGCTGTGTTTAGAGAGATGACTTTGATTGCACCATAAGAATATAGCCTATAGGAAGGAGATACTGGCAGCAAGGAAATCAACTCAGGCTGCCCATATTTCCCCAGCTAGAGTAGACTTTATAGCCAAGGCAAGCACACATATTTCTCTCATTATTCTAATTCTCTCACGTCCTAAATGTATTCTCTTCACACCCCTGAGGGCAGTTTCTGCTCTGGACAGTCATCAAAACACTCGCTTGGGTTGTGATATCCTCTTAGGCAGGGGTCTAAGGATAAGAATGAAATGAAGATCCAAAGAGCTTGTCATTCTTCAAAACTCTGGAAAGATGTGAAAAACATTCTGGGAGAGTTTGATGGACTTAAGGAAAGAAAATCTTGTTTTCAGTATTTTTATTTTAATAATATTCATAATAGAAAATGTGGAAAGGTAGGGGGAAAAAGCCAGTCACCTGTAGACTTCATGATCCATGAAGGCAGGGACCAGTTGTCTTTTTTAAAGAAACTTTTTTTATTGAAGGTATAACATGCATACAAAGACCAGATCTGTTTTTGCTTACTATTATATTCTCAGTGTCTAGCACAATGCCTGATGGGTAGAAACTCAATAACTATTTGTTGAACGAAGTAGAAATACCCCTTACATGGGAGTGTTCCTAAAATTCATTTTAGGTGAGAAAAGGCTGGGCTTTATGCTCCACATTCCCCCAAATGGCCCGAAATACAACAGCTACCATGTATTGGGCAGACCCTTTACACGAATTAGCTAATTCTTCACCAAAACCTAAATAATGGATTGCTCTTCCCTTCACAGATGAGGAAAGTGGGTTTCAATTAAAAATTGGGTTTCCGAGGTCACAGCAAGGCCAGCATTGCTCAAGACTCCAGAGCCTAGGAGGCAGGGACTGGACCCTCCCAAGGCACAGGGCGGATCACCGGGTGGTGCTTATGGGAGCGAAGGGGCTTCCCGAAATTGGGGACAGGGCCTGGGCCGTCACGGAAGGAGGTGCGCGAGGGCCGGCTGGGGTGGGTAAGACCCCGAGGCCAGGCCCGTGTCGCTTTCCAGGCCTTCCGGGCTCTAGGCCTCTGTGCTTCTCGCCTCACTTCATACCTCATCTGGTAGTGCATGGCGACGCGCTCCCGGTGCTGAAAGTCGCTGCCGTCGGTACCGGCCGCTCGCGGGCCTGCCCGAGATGCCATTACCCCCGCCCAGAACCCCAGAGCCCCTCACGCCGACCCACGACCGGGAGTACCGTGCGAGCTGCCTGCACACCCAGTTAACGCAGCCTCAGCTTGCCACCCTAACAAGCGCGAGCGATTTGGTGAGGACAACTTCCGGCCTCTCTGTCTCCGGAGGACGGACTCTGTGGTCATGCGCTCGCGCACGCGCACGAGCACGCTCTCGCGGCCCCGGCCTACGTCTGTCTGTTTGGAGTGCCCGAGAAATTAATCCCTAGGGATGGCATCTTTTTGCTCTCTGCCTGGACCATCTCACTTAGCCTGTTGAGCACTTTCGCCTTTTTTTTAAAATATTTTATTTATTTATTTGACGGAGAGAGACACAGCGAGAGCGGGAACACAAGCAGGGGGAGTGGGAGAGGGAGAAGCAGGCTTCCGGCAGAGCCGGGAGTTGGAGGGGGGGCTCGATCCTAGGACCCTGGGATCATGACCTGAACCCAAGGCGGACGTTTAACGACTGAGCCACCCAGGCACCCCGCACTTTCACCTTCTTAAACTCTAATATGAGTTCAAGACACCGCTGTCCCCACTTCACAGATGGGGAAGTGATAATGAAAAGGGTTCTGTAACTCTCAATAGGACACATGATTGACACAGTCTCAAAATATCTCCCCATGGATTACTTAATCATTGCAAAGAGAAAATGGTAACTTTACAGTGGAGAAACCTGGGGTGCACGCCCGTAACAAAGTAATCAAAGTTAACTTGATCAGTAATGAGATAAACTGACATCTGTCTCCTGTTACACTGAAGACACAGCATCACTTCTGTGATATTTCTGCCAAAAATACTTAATTTAACCTGAATCTAATCATGAAGCAATGACAGATAAATTGAAGGACATTCTATAAGATAACTAGACTATTTTTAAAAATGTCAAGGCTATGGGGGTGCCTGGGTAGCCCAGTCTCTTGTTATCTCCTCAGATCTTGATCTCAGGGTGGTGAGTTCAAGCCCCTGCTGGGCACCATGCTGGGTGTGGAGCTTATTTAAAAAATAAAAATGTCAAGGCTATGAAAGAAAAGAAAATTATGGGGCACCTGGGTGGCTCAGTCGGTTAAGTGGCTGCCTTCGGCCCAGGTCATGATCCCAGGGTCCTGGGACATGTTGGGCTTCCTGCTCAGGGGGAGCCTGCTTCTTCCTCTCCCTCTGCCTGCTGCTCTGCCTATCTGTGCTATCTCTCTATCTCTGTCAAATAAATAAATAAAATCTTAAAAAAAAGACAGTTGTCTTTCTTTTCTTTTTTTAAAAGATTTTATTTATTTAAGAGTGAGAGAGAGAACAAGCGGGGGGAAGGGCAGAGGGAGAGGGACAAGCAGACTGCCCGCTGAGCAGGGAGCCTGATGCAGAACTCGATCCCAGGACCTGGAGATCACAATCTGAACCGAAGGCAGATGCTTACCCTACTGAGCCACCCAGACGCCAGGAAGATTGCATTTCTTAAATAATAAGACTTGAAAGTCGAAATGACTGCCTGATCCAAGGGCTGCAGAATGAATGTTGTGTTAGCAGGCATGAAAACAACATTTCTCATTATACATCTCTAGCAGAGCTCTTGGGTGACCAGGTGCATTGTCAGTGAGTGGTAACATTTTGAAAGGAATCTTTTTTTCTAAGCAGTGGGTCTCAACAGTGGGCTTAAAGTATTCAGTAAACCACATTATAAACAGACATGCTATCATCCAGGATTTACTGTTCCATGTATAGAGCACAGTCAGAGTAGATTTAGTATAACTTTTAAGGGCCCTGGGACTTCCAGAATGGCAAATGAGCACTGGCTTCAACTTCAAGTCACCAGCTGCATTAGTCCCTAACAAGAGAGTCAGCTTGTCCTTTGAAGCTTTGAAGCCAGGTGCTGACTTCTCTCTAGCTCTGAAAGTCCTAGATGGTATCTTCTTCTAGTAGAAAGCTGTTTCATCTACACTGAAAATCTGTTGTTTAGTGTAGCCACCTTCATTAATGATCTCAGCTAGATCTTCTGGATAACTTGCTGCAGCTTCTACTTGCTGCTTTATCTTGCACTTTGATGTTATAGAGATTCTTTAACCCTCATGAACCACCTCTGCTAGCTTCAGATTTCTCTTCTGTAACTTGCTCACCTCTCTCAACCTTCACAGAATTGAAGAGAGTTAGGGCCTTGCTCTCGATTAGGCTTTGGCTTAAGGGAATGTTCTGACTGGTCTGATCTTTTATCCAGACTACTAGAACTTTCCCTATGTCAGCAGTAAGACTGTTTTACTTTCTTATCATTCCTGTATTCACTGAAGTAGCACTTGTACTTTCCTCCAAGAACTTTTCCTTTGTACCCACAATTTGGCCTAGTTTTCAGTCTGTCTCAACTTTCAACGCACCTTCCTCACTAAGCTGAATCATTTTTAGCTTTTGATTTAAAGTGGGAGACTTGTGATTCTCCTTTCACTTGAACACTTAGAAGCCATTGTAGGATTATCAACTGGCCCAATTTCAATATTGTTTAGTCTTAGGAAATATGGAGGCCTGAGGAGAAGGAGGGAGATGGGGAGAGAAATGCCCATTTGGTGGGCAATCACAACACACACGTTTGTCAATGAAGTTCTCTGTCTTATATAGGCATGGTTCATGGTGCAACCAAACAATTACAATAGTAACATCAAAGATCACTGATCACAGATCACCATAATAAAAAAAATAATAATGAAAAAATTTGAAATTTGCAAGAATTACCAAAATGTGACACCAGGACATGAAGTGAGCAAATGCTGCTGGAAAAATGGCACTGATAGACTTGCTCAATGTAGGGTTGCCAAGCCTTCAATTTATGAAAAATGCAGTATCTGTGGAGCTCAATAAAGTGAAGCACAGTGAAGTAAAGTAAGCCTGTATCTGTCTCCTCCCCGTACACTCTCTAGAACGTCTTTTCTTGCCCTCTGGAAATTCTGCTGACCCTTTAGAATGCATCTTATTACTCCAGCAAAAATCACCTGCTCCGACATCAGCTCCCAAGGCTCCTGCGCAGTAAGTTGCAGTGTTTGTTAAGCCTGGTTTAAGACCATCTGTGATAGAATCACCCAGGATTTTTTTTTTTTTTTTTTTACCACCCAGGATTCTTATTAAAGGCATATATTTCGGTGGCAGCAGCTGAGGCCGGCAGGCGAGGTAAAATGCGGCTGACCCGGAAGAGAAGCTGCCACCGGATTCAGCCCCTGCGGCAGCCTGCCACCACATGGGGTTAGCAGCTATGGCCATGGACATCCTCAGTGAAATGGGGCTGCACTTTGATGAGCTGGACAAGCTGCACGCATTGGACCCTGAGGTTACCCAGCAGACCATAGAACTCAAGGACGAGTGCAAGGACTCTGTGGACAAAATTGGCCAGTTTCAGAAAATAGTTGCTGGTTTACGTGAGCTTGTTGACCAACTTGCAAAAGAAGCAAAAAATGAGAAGATGAAGGCCATTGGTGCTCAGAACTTGCTCAAATCTATAGCAAAACAGAAAGAAGCCTAACAGAAGCAACTGCAAGCGCTGATAGCAGAAAAGAAAATGCAACTTGAAAGGTATCAGATTGAATAGGAAGCTTTGTGTAAAGTAGAAGCAGAACAAAATGAATTTATTGACCAATTTATTTTTCAGAAATGAACTGAAAATTTCATTTTATAGCTGGAGGGCCAAAATACAAAACCAAACCCAAAAAACCTTTGTACTGTTCCAGTGACTTGACTAATGACCCACATATGTTCTGAGAGATAGTGCATAAGGAACACAACATCTCTAAAGGCAGTAAACAAATCTGGGGTAACTTGTTGCTGATGTCCGAGCACATCTGCTGGTGAACACCCAGTGGCCACGGTGTTCCAGGCTTTTACCTCTCAGCATTCTTAGCCTGAACTGAGCAGTCTGTAAATGATGATCTTTTTTTTTTTCTTTGTAAATTCACAAAGCTTTGGAAAGAAAGAGCAATAAATTATTGTTAAAAAAATAAATGAAAATAAAAGCACATATATCTGGGGGTACTTAGGTGACTCAGTCGGTTAAGCGGCCGGCTCTTGATTTTGGCTCAGGTCATGGTCTCAGGGTCCTGGGATCGAGCCCCATGTAGGACTCTGCATTCAGTGGGGAGTCTGCTCGAGGATTCTCTCTCCCTTTCCCTCTGGCCCTCCCCTCACTTGTTTGTGCACTCTCTCTCTCTCTCTCTAAAATAAATAAATAAATCTTAAAAAAACAACCCACATAGGGGCATCTGGGTGGCTCACTTGGTTGAGCATCTGTTTTCTGCTCAGGTCGTGATCCCAGGGTCCTGGGATGGAGCCCTACATCGGGCTCCCTGCTTAGCGGGAAGGCTGCTTCTCCCTCTCCCACTCCCCCTGCTTGTGTTCTCTCTCTCGCTGTGTCTCTCTCTGTCAAATAAATAAAAATCTTAAAAAAAAACAACATATATTTCTGGGCCTTACCCTTAACCAAATAGATCATTCTTCAGAGTTGGGTCTGAGACTATTTTTAATCTAAAATGTTGACTAGATAATACATTTATGTGGTTTAGAAATCAAACGATATAATAAATTTATGCACAATGAGCACATGAAAAGATGTTCAGCACCATTAGTCATTAGGGAAATGCATTTCAAAATCTATGAGCTACCACTTCACACCCAATAGGATGGCTAGAATAAAAAAGACAATAACAAGTGTTGCCATGGATATCGAGGAATTGGAACCTTCAAATAATGCTGGTAGGAATGTAAAATGGTACAGCTACTTTGGAAAAATATTTTGGCAGTACCTTGAAAAATTAGAGTTACTAATATGGACCAGCAATTCCTTTCCTAGATATATACCCAAGGGAAGTGACAATATATATCCACACAAAAATTTGTACACAGGGACGCCTGGGTGGCTCAGTTGGTTGAGTGTCTGCCTTCGGCTCAGGTCATGATCCCATGGTCCTGGGATTGAGCCCCACATCGGGCTCCCTGCTCGGTGGGGAGCCTGCTTCTCCCTCTGCCTGCCGCCCACCCTGCTTGTGCTCTTTCCCTCTCTGACAAATAAATAAATAAAATCTTTAAAAAAATTTGTACATAAACGTTCATAGCAGCATTATTTATAATAGTCAAAAAGTGGAAACAACCCTAT